GCCACACTGATACTGCTCCGCATCGCTACGTGCCACCAGAATACCAAAGACCAATCATGAGAACGCAGCGCACGTGGGTGCGTTGAACCACTAACTTGTGCGCTGCGGGTTATTTACAAACCAACTGTACCGGCACGGAGGGTCATATTCTCGTGTTTCGTCGTCATCGTGTGCTCGGTCGTGCGCGCCTCCGCCGCAGCCGACACTAGAGCTGGTGTCCTCTCGATTGCAGTGAAGCAGCGCGTGACGGTGGAGATCGGCGACGAGAATGACAACGCGCCCACCTTCGACCCCAACCGGATCTACGAGGCCACCATCAAGGAGAACGCCAACATCGGCGCCAAACGTCATCGAGGTGGTGGCCCGCGACCCGGACTCGGGTGAGCTCGAGGCGGGCGGGGCGGTGACGGCCCGCTCGGTGACGAGTGGTCGCCGGGCGCCGTCGCCGGTTAATTAACGAGCTCGTTTGAGCACCGGCGGCGGCGGCGCCTGAGCCGTTGCGGCCGGCACTGGACCGGTGTCAGGTTGTCAGGACAGGTGTCAGGTGTCAGGGCGGGTGTCGGGACAGGTGTCGGCTGTAAGAACATGTGTTTGGCTGGTGGTATCGGGTCGGCGTCGCATGTCTTGGCTTGCTCATCGTGACCGAAGTCTCGGCCGTTTCGCCGTGACGTGTGCCGTCGTCAGTTCCTGGTGTTTCGTCTCCGGTTTGTGGTCTGCAAACTATTGATAACTGTCTGTAGCGCTCCTCATTGCTCTTGCTGAGCTGCTTCTCTTTTGACCGTGGTAACCCCACCTACTCCGGTGCCCTGGACTTGGCGCGTGAGGCTCCATGCTTCGTCACCGCGTGAAGCCTGGCACCGGTGTGCCGACGGCAACCGTCCCTGGCCTGCAGTCAGTCGGCTAGTGGCACTCCACCAAATGTCAGTGTGGACATGGATGCCCCATCACTTGCTGAACAGTTGCGGAAGTCCTGTCCATTGGTGACGGCCGGCCGGTCTATAATCATTCTAGCTCACTTCCCTTACAGTGCTGACGTAATACTGTGGTGTAAATCAATGTCCTCGGTTGTGTTATACGGCAGGGAGCCTTCTATTTTGGTGACATGTTTTCTCGGGTTGTCTCATGGTGTGGCAGAAGACGTGCGCTCGTCCAGTGCTTGCTGTGATGCGTGCTCGAGGCCAAGCGTTGTTCGACCCCTGCGCTGCCGCCGTCACTCTCCGGAGACGATGCCATGACCCCCCCCCCCCATGACCCGCAAAACGAAGCCGGCCAGGGCTTCACCGGGATGAGCGTGGCGGGACAGCACCGCCCGCCCCAGCGCGGTGGATCCCGGTTCGTTTCCGTCGTGCTTTGAGTGGCAGCGTGGGCGCCCCAGCCCCAGCCCCGTGTTGACTGTGGCACGGTATCGCGGCCTGGACAGATGTGTTTGCCCCGGTTATCTCGGGCCGGGTCGAGTGCGCCCACCTGTGTGTGCCGGTGCATCCGTGTCTTATCGGTCCTCGCCCCGCTGGAAATTGCCTCTCTGCCCGGCAGACTCCAAGATCCAGTACCAGATAACAGACGGGAACCACGGCGCAGCTTTCGACGTTGACACCGACACGGGCATGGTCAAAGTGAAGAACAAGCTGGACTTCGAGAACGTGAAGGAGGTGGGACTCAGGGCAGACGCGGCCATCCTGTCCCGTCCCGTCCCGCTCACGCTGATCTGCCTACGCCGGAGCCGGCTGGACCGCGCCTCACGGTTCCAGACTATAGCGCAATAAACTTAAATGGATTTCAAACTGGTCAGCACGATCATAAACTTTATGGTGCTGAAGCCTTTCTATTCGAAGGCGTATCAAATTTGGGTTTCGTTGCGATGTGTGATGCCGCGTGATCATGTGGCGTTTCTGTGAGTTTCGGGGGTAGAGCTGTTTTACGTTCGTCAAATGACGTCATAAACGAACCGACGGCATTTTCGGCGGCTATTTGGGAATGGTCTCAAAGTAAATGGTGGTCGCGTCCGTCATAATCCAGCATTCATCAGCATTTAACGTGTTCTCACACAGTCATGAAACGTTGACCGGCTGTATTAATGCAATGCAGAACGTGGTTACGACGGGGTAGCACCTCACTACACGGATGACACGTGTAGTTCGGCCCAACTTTGTCACTTTTGTACGACTGGATGGATTCCGCTGCTTCTCCGTGGCCGAATAGGCTGCCGAGTCGGGTGGGAGTCACTCGATTTGAAACATTCGGTTTGTCTTACAAGCTGCTGCAAAAGTACTGAACTTAATTGTGTGTTGTCCAAATACTGCTGAAACTTTGTAGAAATGCTGTCGACGTTTTGGCCCCATAAAGAACTATGGGCCTTCTTGAAAACTTTGTGCCTTTCCGGGGTCAGGTATGACGTAGTCATACGGCAAAATACATGCTTGAGGATGGCTTGTCAATGTGCAACACCTTCGCGTACGTGCGATGCATCAGCATGCGCTACCATAAGCACATTTATTTTAGGCGTCGCGAGAACGGATTGGCGCATGCGCGCAACACTGCTGTACCACGTTATTTATTGGTGTAAACATTTGTTATTCGTGACGGTATGGGCGCCAGGTAAGTTCTAACCTTTTAGCGTCACGTTCCGCCTCGCGAGGTAAAGAGTCGTGCCATATCTCGCCCATGACGTATTGAAGGGCCATTTGCTGAACTGGTACTGTCAAGCTGGCCATTTGATCATCCGCCGTCTACTCATGACTATGAGACGGAGGTAAATGTTAATATACGCCCGTAGAACGCTCTCTGTATGTCCATTTTCATGTGCCCGTAGAATACCACCTCCACCGCCCATTTGCTTTCGGCTTTAAAAGACCACCTCTGTCGTCCATTCACTCGCGCCCGTAGAAGACCGCCTGTGACGTCCACTGCTCGTGCACGTAGAACACCGCCTCTGCCGGCCGTTTGGTCCTGTGCGTGGAGGCCCGGCGGTGAAGGTACGCCTCCCTGTCCGGCAGTACACAATCTCGGTGACGGCCTCCGACGGCAAGTACGAGGCCACCCACCCGGTGAACATCGACGTCACCAACGTCAACGACGTGGCGCCCGTGTTCAACCAGTCCGAGTACCGGCTGAAGATGAGCGAAGGCCGCGCCTCCTCCGAGCCAATCACCAAGGTCGGTGGAGCCAGGCACATGGGAATGGTATAATGATCTGTCTGGTGTAGGGGTTCGGGGACTTGAGGTAAGGGTGGGAGTGAGAGTGGGGAGGGGGTAGCGGGGACGACTCTTACGGTGGTGGAGTTTGTGTTGTTGCCATGTTTGGCGACTGGCAGGTGAGAGAGTCTGGTTGGAGTTGAGCGTGGCTTTGCTGCACGGTTTACTGAAGCCTCTGCGGAGGTGGTCCGAAGTGCGCGACTAAGGGTGCCGCGCGGTCTGCTGCAGTCTCTACGGAGGCGGTCTGGAGCGTGCGATCAAGGGCTTTTTGTTTTAAGAGTGAAGAGTTGCTCCGTTTTTTTTTTCGTTGCAGCAGATAGGGGCGACATTTATTAAACGTTTGAGCCGATTGTGGCTCGTTTTTTTTAATCATTCTACGTCCTGACAAAGCCATCTTTTCCATACTGGTGGAGAAGGACACTTGACTCAATACAGTTGAAGCACGCATGAGGCTCAGTAACTGGTCCTACAATTCATATGTAGTTTCGAGCTTGCTGCTGTTGTGTAGCCGAAGAGAGGACTCCCAGATTGGGTCCACCTGCTTAAAGGCTGTTAAATAAAGCCGTGATTTAGAGATTCCCACTTCAAGCGCTGCCCATTATACGGCGCATTTCAGAGATCGATTGCCACATTCGTCTCGCAAAAAGGCGGTCGCAGCTGTTGCACTGTGTCCTTGAAGCTGGTTGCGATGATCTTATCATGGTTTGTGATAGAATTACGATTGGAAATTTCCATACTGTTCAGGACAGACCTTCCACTATGGAGAAATATGACACCAATATCCGAGAGACCATTCCAATCTACAGTCCCGGGTGCTATTAAACCAGAAGCCAGCTACGGGCTATATGTTGTCGTTGGAGAACTGTATACACCGACTCTTGGCACGCCAAGTTTTAGCAGTATCTTTCCAATGCGCCCGACAGCTTGAAACGTGCAGGAGGGTGTGTAGCTTTGGACGTGTTGTAATTCGTAGTGCGTAAAAGTAGGTTATATTTGGCCATGGTATTACTATTGTCTTTAACTATTTGACATAGCAGGCCTTTCCGTCACCTGTAACTTCTGTTGCCTTGAATTATTTTATGTAGCAGACTTTTTCACCCACCCAAGAGGCTACATGTCGCGTTGCGCCGTCTGAACCCCACGTGGAACTCGACTCCTGTTCGTTTTTACTTTTTTGGCCTGTGCATAGTGGGCGACTCACCAGTTGTTTCCATACACATGTTCTTGCTCGAAAGTACTTGGTGACACCCGCGCAGTTATGCTGGTCATGTTTTCACTTGTGAGCGCTCTTTGCATGCTTACGTCCCGCTCGCCTTGCCTGCGTGTTGGTCATCTCCCAGGTGTCTGAGTGCCGTGCCCCTATGTCCACGGAGTGGTACCTGGACCGGAGGCCCTTCAGGTCGCGTGATGTCCGTACGGGTCGCACCATCGCGGGACGGCGCCCCGATGGGGCCCGGTAGGGTAGTCGTCCTGTTTTGTTCGACATCGTTTGTATTTACCAGAAATAGGACGCTTGAGCCCTATCGATTACCGGATAACCTAGTTTGATTATTTTAGGAGACCTGGCCTGATTTACAGTTGGGTTTTTGTGCCAATCCGCGCTGCACCTTTCTTTGGCGATGTGTATGTAGACGGCATGTAGTGTATGTGGGCAGCAGATGATAATCGCCGGACGTTGCCCTCAGGTCACGGCCACGGACAAGGATCCGGATGGTGAGGCGTCCATTGTGTACAAGCTCTCCGGTCCGGGCATCTTCCCCGACCGGCCCAAGGACGACGTCTTCAGCATCAACGACGACGGCGAGGTGGTGGTGCTGAAGGTACGCCCCGCCGCCTGAGGCCACTGGGATCGCGCTCTCCCTTACGGCCCCTCGCTCCATTGGTGGAGTCCAACTGGCTCCATCTCGCTCCTGTCTGTCGTGCCCAGGCGGGTCGTCAGCGGAACCCTAATTGAGTCATTCTTCTTCGCGGCTCAATCTCCCATCTCCGGTCTGGGCAGGCCGGCTGCATGCTCTGGCTGGGTCATTTAGCGGCGGGGCTTGTCGTCCAGGCGTCGTGCCGCGCGAGCGAGCGGATCGCAGCAACTGTTCCCGCGCCGTTCCTTTGACGGCGGAACACCACCACGTCCAGCTGCAGGTGTTGTCGGTGGCGGCGTCACCCGTTCACTTGCACGCCTAGCAATCCGAGTCCCGCGTGATCGATGTCGACAATTTGCCCAACATTGCGCTATGATTAGACTGAAATTGCTTCAGAACCGGCAAGTGTTCCGGCTGGGTGCGGCGAGACATGTGATACGGCGTTTGACCTGGATTCGTTAGCGCTCTGTCTGGCCGCGACGGGTCACGGTCCGTGACGCTGTGCGCGTTTTTGCAAGTTTACGCGCTTACATGGGCCCGCCTTTTTCTGAGCATCCCGCGCTGTACTTCGTCATCATTATTTTCAAATAATCCTTGTTGGCACTCACCATGTGCTTCGCCCGACCCTCTGCGTTTCGCTCATTCCCAAGTCGACCATGTCCGCGTCTCGCGCCCACCGTCATCTCCCCCTCCCCCTCCCCTACCCCCACCCCCGCTCCTGGACCGGCGACAGTAAGCGCGCGCCGAGGCCGCGGCCGCCGCCACCGCCGCTTGTAACGGTGACCGGTGCCGCAGATCCTGGACCGCGACGAGGACACCGGCGGCCGCGAGATCTGGAAGCTGTCGGTGGTCGCGTGGGACAACGGTGGCAATGGCCTCGGCTCGTCCGTGCCCTTCACGCTCACGCTCACGGACATCAACGACAACGCGCCTTACCTGATCCAGGTGCGGTCACGGAGAGACGGCGCCGCGTGCGACTTGGTGCCTAGCTCCCGCCTCAGTACGTGCTGGCTGGCTTCACTCCCTCTCGAGTGTCGTGGCACTAAGGGTCTGAGCAGTTGCGGTGATCAATGCGTAATTCCAGAGGTCAAGGAAACAAACATTTTGATCTCGGTTTTTGCAAAGGGTTTTCTTTCTCTTGCTGCATGTGCCGCATGAATTTTGGACTTTCCTCTGACGGCTTCTGTTTTTGGCTCAGTTTTTTTAAAAAAAAGTTTTGTTAGTGACTTAGGTTTTGTGTCTGTTCATTGCTGGCAATCATTAGTAATGCATTGCTGCTATCAAGCGTTGACTTGACCCTGCTTGAACGTCTTCTATAGGACTGTTACCTGCTTTATCGCTAGCGTAGCGTTACGGCACCGTAATAGCGCCTCACAAGCTACCGACAGCCAACGCGCAAGCGTCTAAATACAGCTGCACATGCCCCGCAGAGCAACAGTTCGCGGCCAGTAATCATGGAAAACAAGTCCCCGGAGGATGTCGTCATCCCAGTGGAAGCGGACGACTTTGACGACCACCAGAGGAACGGCCCCGCCGTACACATTCCAGCTCGACCCCAACGCCCCTGACGACATCCGGCACAAATTCAGCGTCATTACCGTCGGTGAGATGGCGCCACAGTCTCCTGCTCCCAATGCGTGTTTTGCTTTGACAGCTTTAGAACATGGATATTACATAAAGTGAAGTGCTTCGCCCTCGGCTGATTTGATAGCTAACGTTTCTTGGCATGTTTTGCAATGGATTCTCAGACGACGTCTCTTGGGATGTTTTGCAGTGAACTCTCAGACGACATCTCCTGGGATGTTTTGCAGTGGATGCTTAGATGACGTTTCTTGGCATGTTTTGCAGTGAACGCTCGGACCTCGGCGCGCAGACATCTTATGTTGCGCGGTGCGGGCAAAGCCATCTAATCATTTTGTTTTTTACAACTGACTGGACCCGGTCGCCAGTTCACGAAGGGCACTGGCATCAGCCGTTTGTGGTATCAGAAACGAGGTCTTGGGTTTGACCCTTGGTGACCTATTCCCGGGCTCATGCTATTGGCTGGGAGGTTTTTCATCATGTGTTCCACCTCTCTGGCCTGACCACACCAGACCAGACCAGACCCGATCCCAGCTGGCTTGACCTGACCTGGCCCGACCGGACCCAACATGACCCGATCTGACCTGATCTTACCTGACCTGGCCTGACACAATCGGACCTGACCCAACCTAACCCGGCATGACCCGCTGTGACCCGAACTGTCCCGAGCTGACCCGAGCTGACCCGAACTGACCCTCAGTCCAGGACAACCGTGCGGAGATCCGGCCGCTGGTGACCTTCGACCGCGAGGATCAGAAGTCGTACGCCATCCCGGTGGTGGTGAGCGACAGCCAGTCGGCCTCTCCCGGCCCGCTCACCGGCACCAGCCTCTTCACCATCATCATCGGCGACGAGAACGACAACGACATGAAGGAAGGCACCAGTCGCATCGAAGTCTTCAACTTCGAGGTCAGTCGCGAGGTCCCACTGTCAGTGGCTGACACGTGCTTGGCTCAAAATGGACCCGACTCTGCCTGCCGTCGGGGTCAGATCCGGACAGAGCGTCCCTGGATCGCTGGGGGATGGGGCTGCGAACGTAGCCTGGTGTAGGTTTAAGTCGGGGTCCATGTCGTGGGATTATGAGGGTGCCCGTGAGACTGTGAAAAACGTGCTCTGAGGCCTCGCCGCGATGGGGTCACTCCTTAAGCTAGTCCCAACGCAAGTATGTCAGCGTGGAAAAGCATTCAGACGATCTTAAGTACCGTTGCTCATTATACGACGCCTTAAGTCGACTGCCGCGGAGCAGCGGCGCCGAACGCTGTGCTCATTAAGCATTGTGTATTCCCTCATCGCTAAGGTATTTTGATAATTACCACTCTGCTGCCGGCACGCTAGAGTGCAGGCTATTCCATGTTTTAAGCTGATTTGATGGTCGTTGACGGGGAAAATGGAGGTTAACGATATGGTCGGTACGGTGCGGAAGTGCAGCTGAAATGGTGCCATAACTGCATCTACACCATACCGTGAATGCCGATAACATCACCGACATCATTTCTCCCTTGGGACTTGCTCGCGCGACGTCGTCTAGCCGGCACCGGGCACCGTATTTTACTGCGGTGCCTCTCCACATTCATTTCACCGAAGTTGTCGTGGGTATTTCCGTTACCTCGGTCGCTCCTTGTCCGGTCTTCCCGCGAATGCTGAAAGCGCGGGCAACCGGCGTTCCCATTCCCCGGCGGTGTGTCGTATTCCGCTGGACATTTACCCACGTGAAGACCATGACGACGTAAGTGTCAATGACCATGGAAACTAGAGGCGAGGGTGGCGGCAACAACATTCGCAGTGATTCTTTTTTTCTCGGCGCTTTTACCAACTGCAGCCACTGCTCAAACAGCCGTCTCGTGTCTCTCACGACATTAGCCACAACGGGCGGGCAATTCGTGCGTAGCGCGCGAAATCTGAACCCCAGCCCACCAAGCAGACGCGCCGCGCGTGCTCGAAGACGCGTCGTGACCCGCCCTGACCTCGGACAGGAGCGGCGGCGCGCGGCCGGGCCGCCCGAGGTCGCCGACGTGTGGCTGACGGCCGAGTACGTGCGGAGGAAGGTGTATTTCCCGCGCCCCAAAGTGGGTACCGGCTGCCCTCGGCCGGAGCCGGACTCCGCCGGCCACGCATGGATTGTGCTCGACACGCGCGGCATGCCGTTACTGGGGCGCTGATCAGCTGCGCGAGCCTGCCGGTCCTGGCACAGTGCAGCGTCGGTGCGACGAATGCGACAGCTGCGACAGCTGCACTGTGGTTGCACCAGCTGCTCTGCGATGGCTGCACTCGGCTGGAATGTGCGGGGCGCGTGGTCGATGCGGCCGCTCCGTTGCTGTGTGGACGCCCCCGCCTGTACAGAGTGATTCTCCCCGTGCCGGTGGCGGCGCGCCGGACGGCAGTGGTGTGTCGCACCTGGCTTGTTTACTCGACGTCGCCAATGGCCTGAGAACGGCTGCCCCTGGCGCCCCGCTTGTCCGTCACGTCAGCGGAAGCGCGTGACGCCGCCCTGACGTCACCGACGCATGACGCAAGCCACGTCAGCACGTCAGACCACGTCGGCACCGCCTGGCCTCTGCCCCCTGCCTTCTGCCCCCTGTCCCCTGCCCCTTGCCCCCTGCCCCCTGCCGCGGCCCCTGCCTCCCGTCACTGCCTTCTGCCACCCGCCCGGCCGCAGAACTGGTCGGACGTGACACTCTGCTTCCATTGACATCCGCGTCTGGCGCCACGCCCCCACCGGATGGCTTGATTTGATTTCGCCTCTGGCCGTGCAGCACGCCGTCGGCTGCAGTCGCTGTCACTTGGCCGGCGGAAGTGTTTGTCATGAGGTGCTCTTCTGTCGCGATGATTTCCTCGAACGCCGCCATGCCGTGCTCCCCAGCGTATCGCGCCTTTCGGACGTACGGCTGCAAGGTGACTGACTTATTCGCCCCCCGGGCATCGTCCTGATGTTGACAGTGAGGTATGGCCGGGAGTCCACCTCTCCCAACCCCGCCCCTTTCAAAATTGAGTACCACTTCAAGGCACCGAAGCGTTTCTCCTGCTGCGTGACCGCGTGACCTTCAGCCGGTGACCGTGAACTTTGCCACCGCTGACCTGGTGACCTTCATGGCCGCAGGGGAAGATGCCTGACACGGTGGTGGGCCGTGTATTCGTGGAGGACCCGGACGACTGGGACCTGCCGGACAAGACCTTCTCCTGGCTGGACGGCCAGGACTACCGCCACTTCGAGCTCGACACGGAGACGGGCAGCATCACCATGCGATACGGCACGCCAAACGGCTCCTACCCGCTCAAGTTTCAGGTACTGCGCCGAGCTAGGGAGAATCTTTGTTTGCCTGAGAATGGGAAAGGAGGAGAGCGAGTCTCGCGTTCGAAGATATTGACGCAAGCGTCAGATGTGATGGAACAAGTTCACCTATAACTATTGTAATTATTGGTATAATTTTTTAATGGCAAAGACTGCTCTTGGTAGCACAATTCTCTGTTTAGTAAATTTGCTTTTCGATGTGTCATGGTTTGATTACGTCATCGTACCTTGCACAACATTGGTTGATAGCCGAATGACAGCCGTGATGTCTTGAAATCGTGCTCACAAACGCCATATATGAACTCCTCTATAATCATATCTTTCTTGGCCTTTATCGCCGTATGGCTCATGGAATAGCAGGACATTAATGACGCTATGATGACGTTATCAATGTCAAGGCAACTTAAAAATACTCTCCCAGAAATACTCACCCCATCTTCGCGGGCGTGCAGCTCAGAAACTAGCGGGCTTAGGTCTTAAGAAGAAAAGGGTTGTGAACAGCACCGAAAGACCTTCAAAATGGCTATTTCAGTTCAAAACCCCTTATAAATGTGAAACACTCCCTTTAAGAGACAACACGTGGCAAAATTGTGCGGATGGTGTGTTCGCGTGTTGTCTTTTTTTACTTGAATTTGCATTCCCAGATAAAAGTTGTGTTCGGTTCAGACGCGGTACGCAAGCTCAGTAATGATAATATCCATCAATAATTCATCTCGTTTCGTATGCTACGCTTTAGGCTCAGCCCCGTCCCCATATTTGTAAGCGCTGGCTGGACCCGTTATCTGCAACAGGACGCCTAATCTGATACCCAGTCTGTAACTGAACCTGAAACTGAATCCGAAACACCGGCGAACGCCATCATCGGGCGACGAGAGCTTGTTTTTCACGCCACCACCGCGAAAGCCTTGTGGTAGCGTGCGATAACAACAGTCCCGCCGCGCGTCGCCAGGTGTACGACAAGAAGTTCCGCAGCACGGTAGACGCGTACGTGACGGTGGCGGTGCGCCTGCTGCCGCGGGAGGCCGTCATCAAGTCGGGCTCGCTCCGTATCAAGGGCGTCACGGCAGAGGAGTTCGTCTCGCGGCCGGACAGGGAGGTGAGTCGCCGGCGGATTTCGCTGGGCGTCACGCTCGTGACCTATCTGCCCACTGGACTCAGAACGTATGACCCGCGCCACGCCTCCCGTGACATGCGCCACAGCTCGTGCCCCGCCTCCCGTGACACGCGTCACAGCTCGCGACACGCCTCCCGTGATATGAGTCACAGCTCCCGCCGCGCCTCCCGTGACATACGCCACAGCTCGTGCCACGCCTCCCGTGACATACGTCACAGCTCGCGCCACGCCTCCCGTGACATGATTCACAGCTCCCGCCGCTCCTCCCGTGACATACGCCACAGCTCGTGCCACGCCTCCCGTGACTTACGCCACAACAGCTCGGCCACACCTCTCTTGATATGTGCCACAGTTCTCGTCACGCCCTCAGTGACATACGTCACAGCTCGCGCCACGCCTCCCGTGACATGAGGCACAGCTCGCACCACGCCTCCCGTGACACGCGTCACAGCTTCCGCCACGCCTCCCGTGACATTAACCCGGAGCTCGGTTTCAGGCACCTGGCTCGTTCCGCCACGCTCACACCATGCAGTGTCTCCCTCAGGCTGTCATGCCCTCGAGGGTCTTGGCCACGTTCATCGGACGAGGGAAATGTCTCTTGCTTACAGTCAAATAAACATATGCACGAACACGACCCACAATGTTTTGATTCGGCACAGGTCAAGGTCACGGCTTCCCGCCGTGACGTCACCGCCCCCCCCCCCCCCTCCCCCAGACGCCGTCGATGCACGAGCGTCTGATCGTCCAGCTGGCCCGGCTGTTCACCACCGCCCCGGAGAATGTTGACCTGTTCGGCGTGCAGAACAACGACGCCGGCGGCGTGGACGTGCGCTACTCGGCGCACGGCTCGCCCTATTACGACAGCGAACGCATGGACGGCATCGTGGCGCAGAACAAAAAACAGGTGGGCGGTGGGGGGCGCCGCACGTGGCGCGTGATGAAGCGAGGCGGTAGTGTCTGTGCATGCCACGGCTGGTGTGGGTGGTGCATGGTGTTGAAGGTGGCGGTTGTTGTGTTGCGCGCATTTTTTGCTACGGTGGTTTATGATGTTTGGTTTGCCTATGCATTTAGCTGCAGTCGTGTGAGTGCATTGACCTTATGGGAGAGAAACGCTGGTTTGTCACGGTTATTGTTGTCATGCCTATTAGAGAACCGCGTGATTGAGTACTATTTCACCTCGAATATGATGAGTAAGATATGAGGGAAGTACATGGCCGATATGTTCCCGGGTTTTTATCACCATTAAGATATCATGCCATGACACTGCGACGGAGCCACGCGCAGCTGACCGGCCCCGCTGATCCATCTTAAGCTGCTGGCATGCCGTCCTCGCGGTTGCTAACTCCTGTGATCTGCGTGCTCAGCTGGAGGATTTGTTCGGCTTCGAGATCGAGCAAGTGGGCATCAATGACTGCCTGTACGAGGCAACCTGCCAGGGCAGCTGCCACGCCGAGCTGAAGATCTTCGACGACGAGGTGTACCGCGTCCAGACCAACACGTCGAGCATCATAGGTGGGTCGCAGCGTCGGGATGGTGGTGAGCGTATCTCGCTCCTACCGCGCCGACAGTAGGCATCGGATCAGTAGAGGGAAGAGGGTCCGTAAATGCCCAGTGCAGTTAAAGCAAGCGACGCATCTGGAGTACATAAGGAAGTTGACTCCTCTAACGCTTGACCTGGCCCTGCCCTTCGCTCGCTCCGCCATCATTCTGTGAAGGCCTGCATGCCACACGAGGTAGCTGAGCTATTGCATCACTGATCCCGATCATGGTGGTGGATGGGTGTAGTCTCGTTGGATTTCATGCCAACAACTGTCGCTGTATTGCCTATGTCTCCGTGTCATTTCGATAGCACCAGTGTGTCGACGTACGACTGGGAGGCACATGCTCATTGCATTTTGTACTGGTTCCCCCAGGCTGAAACTCGTGCAACAGCCGGTGCAACTTTGTGCTGAACTTTGAGCATGATTTTGCTTGGATCATTTTACCATGATCACCGCGAATTTTTCCTCCCGATGACATTGAATCCGTTGCTGCGCCACAACATTAGGACTAGCACACGCGATCATCACGAGCCGCTTTTAAATCTTGTGACCGACGCCTGGGGCTGTTGGACGTCACCAGGTGTGAAGACGGAGCTGCAGTACCGCTGTGGCGAGTGCGAGGCCAAGATGGAGCGCCAGATCTGTCTACATGACGGCGGCTGGAATGAGGCGCGGCAAAAGTGAGTCGGTGGTGTTCAAAAGCCCCGATCCCAGAGCTGGTGACGCAGGCGGCTTACAACACACAAGAGTGCAATTAAAGATCAGCTGGTGCTTTGTAGAAATGGTGGATAAACCAAAAAAGTGTTTTTATTTAGACTGAAGCCTCTGACGTTCGCAGTTCTACTACCGTTTGCTAAGTCTGAACGCCTGCACTGTCACGGATGTTCACCGTATCCTACAACACACGAGAATGCAATTAGAGATCAGCTGGTGCTTTGCAGAAATGGTGGATAAACCAAAAATACATGTTTTCATTTAGGCTGACGCTCCTGACGTTTGCAGTTCTATCTTTTGTGAAGTCTGAACGCCTCTGTTGTCACGAATGTTCATTGCATCTTCGGACCCCGACCCGTCACGTTCGGCCACCGCGCTCCAAAGCGTCGGCCAGCCCGTCTGTGTGTTTCGCTCCGTGGTGGTGCGCGCCCGCGCGCCCGCGCTGCTCCCTCGCCGTCACCGGACCCCGCGCGCGCAGGTGCGACTGCCCGGAAGGCTACCCGGGCCCCAACTGCCAGGGCGACACGATCCACTTCGAGGGCACCGGCTACGCGTGGTTCCCGACGCTGACGGCGTGTAACGCGTCGCGGCTCAGCTTCGACCTGACCACGGCCGCCGACGAGGGCCTCGTCATGTACAACGGGCCGCTGTCCGAGCCCCCCGACTTCGTGCAAGGTCAGTGGGCGACGCCGGCCGCCTGGGGAGAGGGAGGGCGTGCGGGCCGCTGAGAAGCAAGGGGTCGTGGGGCGGAGGGGGTGGGGTGGGGTACCGAGCCAGGCCCCGGAAGATGAACATTGCGGAAGCTGTGCGTGTCCGGATCGCCCACGTTAGTTCAAGGAATGTGGTACAAGCCAGGCATCGCCGTGCGCGACTTTTTCGGATGCCCAGTGGGTACGGTATCAACTGCTATGTAGGCGTGCTTTCACCTGTCACAACGACCAGGAATTTCACGCACTGTATGAAGAGACAGCGAAGGATTAGACGACTTCGTATTGGTAAGTAAGGTCACTTGGCAAGCTGCCGCTGCCTGGTACCGCGCGGATATACTCTGTTTCATTGAACGTAGCGTCTCCCTCCTTCTCTAACATATCGCTCGGCGTGCAGATTTTTTCGCGGTGGACCTGTTGGAGGGTCGCCTGCGTGTGTTCATGAACTACGGTACGGGAACGGTAGTGGCCAGTCCAGAGGTCAAGGTCGACGACGGGGTCATCCATCACGTGGACATCACCTGGGACACAGAGGTCAGTATGTATGCGGGCTCTTGCTGCCATGCTAGTCATGGTCTGGAGTCGTGGCGTTTCCGTTATGTTAACGTCGCATCGGGTGTGAAGTTAGGGATGGATATGGCGAGAAAAGGTGCCGCGGTGCACGTCTTGAACGCCCGCGACAGGACCTGACAAAACAGGCGCGCCTAGTACTTGACAAACGTAAAACAGGGGATCGGAAGGATGCGTTGCAAGGGAAAACAACAGCTGCAACATGCAACGTGACGTGTAACGTGACGTGACGTGTGACGTGACGTGTGACGTGACGTGTGACGTGACGTGTGACGTGACGTGTGACGTGACGTGACTTGACTTGTGACTTGTGCCGTGCCGTATGGCGTGACGCGACGCGACGTGTGACGTGACACGTGACGCCTCGCGTTACGTAAGTGACGTGTGACGCCGGCGACCCGCGTGACGCCCCTCCCCGCCTGCAGACGGTACTGGTGCTGGTGGACAGCTGCGTGGGCGGCACCACCTGCCAGGCGTCGGTGGCGGCGCCTGCCGCGCCTGACGGCGAGAAGAACGCCTTCCTGAACGTGGTGACGCCCCTGCAGCTAGGCGGCTCGGCCGTGCCGCTGGACCGCGTGCAGGCCTTCATGTCCTGGGAGACGGTGCCCGGCTGGGGCGGCTTCTCCGGCTGCCTCCAGAACATGACCTTCCTCGACAGGGTGAGACAGCGTTCGCGAGCGGCGGGCACGGAGAGAGCGAGACGGGCTTCGTGTGTGATCATGAACTCAATAAACCGATCAGTATGTAGGTGTGTTAAAAAACGGAGAATCACGTCAGTTGTGTGTATGATTGTTGAGAAAGGCTGAGGCGAGACAGATATACTTGAAATTTTGGTTTGCTTGGCCCATATCACGAACAAATCGCTGTTAGATGCATATGAATAACGCCGTCCAAAGTTGATCCAGCATCACCTATTTTAGATTTTTTGTGTAGCACAAGTGGAGCTGGAGTTAGTTTAGGTATGGTGCAGGTTTTTGCCAGAGTAGAGTGCAGTTTTGGGCTATTGTGACAATTTGGAGCCGGTTCGGGCAGGAATCAGGGTTTCAGCAGGAAACTGGTTCATAACCATCATCCATGACATGGGCCATCTGTCATCCCTGTCGACGCGATAACTGCTGATCATAGATAGCATGTTCTCGACAGCTTGGCTGCGACCGTATTTGTATCGCTCCCTTGTCGCGCATGTCTCGAATCCTCCAGCCAGAGCCACGCAGTGACTGGAAGGAGGCTGGTGACTCACTCGCTGTGTCGGTTTAACGCGCAGGTGTTCGACCTGAGCGCGCCTGCCGAGGGGAAGGACTTCAGCCGCTACTGCTCGGAGGTGGTGAAGGCGAAGCCGGTCATAGAGCCGACGTCTGGCTTTCTGGCCGTCATTCTCGGCTGTGCGGGTATCCTGCTGAGTAAGTGATCCTCAGCTCGTTGCTCAGCGCTGACCTGAGTTGGGATGTTTGAACTGCTGCTTGCATTGTATGAGCGGTGAGTGGTGCACCGAGGCACTTTGTTTCGGCGTGTCAACGCGCTGTACCAAAGCTGTCCTGCGGAAGGTTTTGCAACGCTGTGTGCCGTCCTTGGCGCGTCAAAATCGAGATTCATTCACACAATTACACTCATTGACAACTCAACGCTGTTCATTCATTCATTCATTCATTCATTCAGTCAGTCAGTCAGTCAGTCAGTCAGTCAGTCAGTCAGTCAGTCAGTCAGTCAGTCAGTCAGTCAGTCAGTCAGTCAGTCAGTCAGTCAGTCACAAAGAGGCATCCAGTCGTCATTGTCACGATTATTCCGAGGCGAACCCGATGTTCCGCTGCGGTCGTGTTCAATGTTCGCCGACTCGGCTGCGACGCGTCCCCGGCCTGACCCCGCCCCTCGCCGACAGTGCTCATCATCGCGGTGATCATGTACCGCCGACGCCACGTGCGAGCCCTCTACAAGGAGCCGACGGACGAGATGCGGGACACCATCATCAACTATGACGACGAGGGCGGCGGCGAGAAGGACCAGACGGCGTACGATCTCAGCGTGCTGCAGGTGGCCAACGGCGTGCCCAGTGAGTTGGGAGCGGGAGGGGGCCGGACGTGGGTCGGTCGGACCCTGACTTCAGACATGGAGTGGCCCTGATGGGACGCGTGTGAGTGTGTGTGGATGTGCACCGCCGGCATGAAGCTGTTACCAGATTTTTTGTAAGGGTACGTGGGCTTTGGTAACGCTGATCACAAGCTAGATTTAGTGCCAGGTTTTCAAACATCAATGGTGTTACCAGAGGGTCACTTTAAGCATGTCTGCGGTGCTGGTCGTGGCTTACTGCTAACTGGCCAAATGTGAGAGAATGCTGTGTGTGTTAACAGTATCAGTTCACAAGCACCGGAGAGGATGAATTATGGTGTCGCGTCAGCAGTAACAAAATTGGCATTTGCCTTGCGATACTGTGTCTTTTGGCTCTGAGTCCGTCCAGTTTCCACTTCACGCTGCCAGTCTTAGTTATCGATCTGCCTGCCATCTATGTTAAGTGTCCTGCACTACAGCTTCAGTTGTGCACGGTTGGGCATGTGGTCGATCCCTGCATGCTTGAGACTACGAGCGTTCTGAATAGGAGCTCTCTGGCACATCCGTGGGCAGTTGATGTTGTTGGAGGAGGGCGATGGATGTAGTTTAAGTGCCTGTTGACTTTAATAACGGCGCCGAGGAAACCTCAGGCTAATTGCTCACCTAATTGCAGCTGGCGGCGAGTAATTTGAGTGTTTGATGCGAAATTTAACGAGAACAGTGCTTCACCCCCTATTAAATTCCTCACGAGTTAACGATAACAACCCGTGAGATTTTCGCCCACTGTGTGCCATGCATCGAGCATTCTGCCGCCCCTACAGCAGAGTTTAACCGCATACAAGCAGCTTGTCACCCAGACGACCACCGGGACCCCGTGACATCGCCGTGCTCCCCGCAGAGGAGAACGGCCGGCCGGTGGGCCAGACGCCCGGCCAGCCGCCGTCCGTGCGCAGCTTCATCGACGACAACAAGAACCAGATGGACAAGGACGAGCAGGCCTGGCCGTCAGACGACGTCAGGAACTACGCCTACGAGGGCGGCGGCAGCTCGGCCGGCTCGCTCTCCTCGCTCAACTCGGGTAGGCGGCTGGTTGGTCGGCCGGCGCGCCGGCAGGATGTGGGGGCGCGAGGCTTGGTGGCGCGCGCCTGACGGGGCGCGGGGCTTCTGCGAGGCAAAACAGGTCGTTTGTTGCTGTTTGGATGTGGCAGGTGGATGGTTTCATTTCCGTGGCGTCGGGACGCTACGTCTCGCTAAAGCGCAGATGAATGGAGTGGATTTAGAGGGTGGCCGGATTATCTTGGAGCGAGGGAAAATGTTTACGTAGATTTTCTCAGGATTAAGGGAGTTTTTAAAGTCTGACTGGTGTAGTGGGTGCGCCAAGTGCCAGTCGTTTTGATTTCCTGAGCGATATTAGCACTTATTTCTGATAATAACTTCTAATTTCACGTCAGTGTCGTCCCAGCCGCAGTGGTGGCTGCCGCCTTTATTTTTAACCCGACTATCTTTAGACACCAAGGCGCAGCTAAACGCTCGACACGACGTGGGGCTGTCACAGCTGGCGGTGTCGTGACGTAGTTGGACGGGGGCCCCCGGGCACCTCGGGTACCATGCCTTCTGACCCCTCGGCCCCCCCGCTGCAGGCACAGACGACAACGACCTCAACTTTGACATCCTGAACGAGTTTGGTCCCCGCTTCCGCAAGCTGGCCGACATGTACGGCGGTGGCGACGAGGACGAGGACGAGCCGGCGGCCGGCGGCCGGCCATCGTCTCTCGCTGGCGAGTCCTGGTGCTAGCGGCGGCCCGCCACCCCGCCCTGAGCAGGTGCCGCAGAGGACGCGGCCCCGCCGGTGGCCGAGAGGGGCTGGGTCCGTGCTGGACACGTCGCGTGCCTGCGACGGTCGTCCGGCGCTCGTGGGTGGTTCCGCCCGTCCCCAGGGAGGACTGTCGGACGGCGGCAGCTGTGAGTCAAGCGAACAAAGGACCTTGGGTCTGCCTGCGTCTGCGGCTATCTCGCCCGCGCCAGGCCTTTTGTGGCCGTCGACTGCCGGACACGGGAGACGCCTCGAGGCAGCGTGTGGGCCCAACCGCGGCCATTGTAGCGGCGAGAGGAGTGACGCACGGCGCAGGACCAAGACCAGCGGCGAAGTTGTGATACCCGGACGTTGTCGTGCGTGGACAGCACGAGCGGCCGCGCCCGGAGGTGAACGCACGAGCGGGATGCCCCACGCGGTGAGCCGCCGGCTAGCAGATATCATTGCCACGGAGTACTTAATCTATTTTACGGTGCGGTTTGTGTGCGCGCGCGTGCGCGCGGTGCCCGCCAGCTACCGCGCGCCTAGTCATGTGAACTGCGGACGGGCTGTCGGGACCACAACCAACCAACCAACCAACCAACCAACCAACCAACCAACCAATCAAAGCTGTGAACCTGCGTGCTGGCGAGCGCGAGCGCGGCCGGGCGGGAGGTGGGGCGCAGGGCGGCTGACGCCTGGCGGGGGCGCGGGCAGGCGCTGGGCGGGGGCGCGGGCAGGCGCCCGGCGGCGCTCGTCCAAGTGCCGGCGTTGCGAGTCGACGCCGTGTTTTGTAATCCATGTGATTGGTGCATCGGTGGCCGTAGCTAGCGGTGTTGCGTGTGCGGCGGCGGCGCGCCGGCCGTCGCGCGCGCGTGTCGCGGTGACCGGTGGCCGGCCCTCGGCCGGTTCGCACCAGGTTCGGAGTGGGGTGGACCGGAAGAGCGGAGGCATTTTACGTGTAGGGTCTCCTGCCGAGAGGCGGGACGCGACCGCCCGATGTGTGATCGTCAGTGGGGAGCGGTCCAAGCTGAATTGTCACTGTCACATTCCACTTTTCTACAGCGGCGACGTCACGGTTGACTGTGCCTCGCCCCGCGGCTGTGGGCCGGGGCTTGCACGCTGGTGATGATGATCTCAGTCCAGATCTGGAGGTGCGTCCTGGAGCTGTCACTCGTGCAACTGTGCCCTCACTAGAGCCTCCTGCCCTGCCGGTCGCACTCTAGCCCGTCCGGGGCAGATGTGTGGCTGTCTGTACCGATGTCCCGCATTTTCTCAGCACAGCGGGGAGTGGCCCGAGCGGTCGGGCGGTCTCTCTTCTCTTTTATATGTTTGATAAGGTACCGACAGTGCCATAACGCTGCTTCTTTTAAATAAAAGTGCCTCACGAATTGTCGGTCGTTTGGAGGTGTTATCTAGATGGTATGCACTTGGCTTTTACAATGGTAATTTGACTGGGGTTTTAGCGTCAAACTCGCTGTAAAAGACATCTGTCAACTTCAGTGTTGTAGTTTTTACGGCGGTGCTTCTTGCTTGTAGTTAAAAGTGTCTGATGAGTTTCTCTTTTTTGACTGAGTGAAGAACAAAGCTGCGTTTTGTCCCCAATTTCTGAAACGGCTATCGAAAGGGTTGCCCGTCTAATATAACCAATCAATCGAAGGGGCTGCCCTAAAAAATTAACGTAACTTAGCATGAGACTGGCCCATTTGCGTGTTTAATAGTACAAATTTCACGTAGGTCAGTGCAGCTGGATGCTTGGAAATCGAGCCCCGGCAGCTTTGTTACGAGAGATGGCCTTTATATCCGCGGTCTGCTGTTCAGTTCGTGTTCAGCCAATCAACTTCTCGTTTTAACAGATACCTTTCACAACTAGGAAGGTGGCCGCGCAAAACTACAGTGATTTTATACCCGCAGCGCTGGTCGCTCGTGGGTATGCATAATGGCTGCTCGGATGTACGCGCACATTGTGAGAAACCGTCGGCCGACGGGTTTCCCGTCACAAATGTCATGACACACGATGTTTCGGAGCGTCGGCTCGGGCGGGCCCTCCCGTCCGAGCCAATCATCAGTCATGCGCCGGGCCAGCCTCCCCGTCTATCCCCGCCAACTGTGCTTAGCGTGCCTCTCCGTCTCGCGCTGGGTGGGGCCCGTCGGAGCGCTCGGCGGCCGCGCCCGGCCGCCGTCGGCTCCGACATTCCTGCCCAGGCCGGCTGTCGCGATCGACGCTCGCCAGCGGACCGACGGCCGCCGGTCACTGACGATTCGTCATCGGCAATGACCGGCGCCGGCGCGCGGTGGCCGTCGTTAATGCGTGCCGACATACCGGCGGCGCCGCCACGGCCCGGTTGCGGGCGCCACAGGGCCACGTTGGGAGGCGTGGTGTCCTCGTTGTTGGGCGAGAAGCTGCTAGCGGACAGGTGTGTTGACTGCCTCGTGACGCGGGGTCACTGTCAACTGTGGTGTATGGGAGGGCCGTGTGGTGTTGGGCATTGTCGTGAACGATGTGCTTAGGTGGCGTCCGCCACGGCGCGATGAGTAATGCAGTGGTTGCGGGCGAGGCCGTAGCACGCAGGCCAAGTGAGCATTATTTGGATAGTGAGAATATTGTCCGGCTGCTACGCTTTCTGAGGGGGCTTTGTCACCACTGATCGTAGGTTGACGTATTTTTTCTGCCGCAGGGAGTGTGATCTATAAAAAGGCTAAGACTTAAGAACCATTCACGTACCAGCGCTTTGATCATATTCGTGTTTCCTGTCGCATAGTCACATTGCCACGACTTCCTCTCCCCACGTTCGAGTAACATGGACTACGTAAATTTACAAGTGCCGATGAAACAAAGTTCGACAAAAGTAAAGGATGACAGTTAGAGGAAAAATATCATAGATGTCGGGTCCGGATTTCAGCATACAGGTGCCAAAGCAACATAGCGCTCTATGATACCGTCACAGGAGAAAACGGAAGTCCCATGCGCACAAGTTGATTTACGCAGGCAGACAATCGCACTCGTGCGCGAACAACGATCCCGTTTTGGATATTTTCAAAGGATTAGCGACATATATCGCCAACCAAACCAGAAAAAGACGTGAAACCACCTGTACGGTGCGGGCGTATGTACGGGCTGTAACTCACTGACGGATTGTAAAACTGTCCGAGCCAAGCTACAGTTACGATCGACCGGTAAGCGGTCAGAGAGCTGTTGTTTCCAAAGCCGATCTCAAATACACGACGCCCCGTCTAAATGGAGGCAGATTGAGTCATGCAAGTTACACGCAAGTTTAGTCCTGTTCACTGTGATAAATAATCACCCAAGATATGCATGCGTTCTATAAAACTTCAGTCATAATGGCCGCTGCTCTATATCCTTGTAAATTTAGCGATTTCGCTCATTAATCCTCGCCCAAAAGGGGAGGGGTCGGTACGATCCTATTTTTTCAAGAATAATCCTCCAGCATGGTGTGCAATGCTGTTATGTATACATATATATATATATATATATATATATATATATATATATATATATATATATATAGGACGACGAATCGGGTCGACGGTTAAAATCACGAGATCTTACAAGCCTCGAAAACATCTGTTTTTCTGTAATTATCCTACGCCGCATTAAGCGGCTAAATCGAGCTTTACCTCAGACACGACCAGGCATGCCAGCACGAAACATGTCCAGCTGAAATGTCAGCATTGATTTTTTAATTGAAAACGTCATGTTGAAATTGACAAAGTCATGTGCAAGCTCAAAGTGCCTTGAAATATTTAAAGCGGCATGTACAAATTCAAAGCGTCGAGTTAAAATCTTAAACGTCATGTCAAAGTTGAAAATATATCAGTTAACAGCATGTCCAACTGTCTCGAACGAATGAGGGCATGTTATCTGAGTGCATGCGCACGAGGACCAACGCAGAACGCATTCACACCGATAGCGCATGGCGATGCATCGTTTTTGCGCCCCCCCCCCCCGTGCGTATATCTATTTCAGTGGCGTCCGCGCTCGTTGGCTGTAACCACGTACACTGGGCAGCCTGCTTGACCAGCTTTTGGAGGACGCGCGTTTGTGAGGGAGGTGCGTTCTGGCTATGTAATACCTGATAGTGAATACTGCTGCATGCATGCTCTGTTTCGTGAGGCGGGCACGCCAAGGTTATTTAATCGCACTCTCTTTCACCCCGAATACGCTACATGTTGCTGCAGTGCACCAAAACACGCCCAGATGAAAGAGCTGGTAATGCTCAAATTTCCATTTCGGCCAAATCCTACGCCGAACTTAAATGCGGGCCGGATTACGCACTTGGCTGAGTGAAAGCATGGCTGCACCGACGAAGCTCGCGTTCTGCGAGTTGATATTTTAATCAAACATTAATATCCGCACCAGTGCGCAGTTCGCTCAGTTTGAACTAGGCCGGGTTGCCTGCAGCAGAAGCGACGACTAAATGAGAGGAAGCGCGTTCCAGGTGGTAAAACAGACCTGCAATCAGCTGTCAGCAAAACTACAGCCAATAGTTACAAATGGATATGGCCACGAAGCACTGCCGCATTTGCACAGGTTTCGTCTTTGTCTTTCCGGCTTCTGCTTTCGCTTAAATGGAATGTTCTGCATTTTAAGATAACGAAGCAAGCATCATGGATGATAAAAATCACTTATAACTATCGCTTTACTTTTAAGTGGAAGAGACTGCTTTTCACAGCACAACTACTTTTGTTAATGACTGTCCTCAATACGCCATTGATTGCATCATGGAACGTTTGTATGACGTTGAGGTGTTGCCAAACTAGCGGTGCAAATTGTTCCCGTTGCATTCACTCGTGGTAAGTACTTCAAACTCACCGAGAGATAGCAGTATTACTGTGCTTCTACTTTGACTCTTTCTCGTGGTATCCTTGTGTAATTATCCATCAGTTTAAGACGTTTATTTACGTTCACATACTCGATTATGGCGCTTCTGTAAGTTGTTTTGTTTGCAGGTCTTTTTGCCGTAATAGGTAGAAATGGTGTCCAATTTCTTATATCATATAGCGCAAAACTTGATTCGTGATTGAAGCTTGCACAGTCCGCTCAACATTGATTGAGAGCCAACTCACGTCCACCAGGGGCAGCGCTACCAATTTTTGGTCGGGGGACAAGGTCACAAAACTATCACGAGCCCTTAATAAAAACAAAGGGACGAGGAATCATGTGTTCAATAACTGGCATTCTTCTAAACGATCATTGTTATGGAAATTCCGCACGTGTTTTGAGTTACACCACCATAGGGAATGGGGCGCAGATACTGGGATGGGGACATGGTCTGGGACCCGCAACTTTCTGGAAATTTAGCATGGGCCCTTTTGGGTGTTAACTGCAAATATAGACACAAATGGCTGTCATCCTCTCGCCTTCTCAGCGTGGGCGGATGTCCGTTGTTCCACCCCGGCGGGCGTATGATCGCATTATCTCAGCTTTTTCTCAGCACATCATATTTTCAATGGAGTGGCTTTTTCTCAGGATAACATGTATCTGTGTATCAACGTGTGTACATACGGTGGAAAAAGTTTCGGGGGTGACATTTTACGTGTTTGAATCCCGCAGCTACGCTACGGCTGGGGCGCCCCATTCCAAAAGTGTGTTGTTTTTTCTTATGGAAAAGTAACAACAAAGAGTAAATCTTGCCATTTCATACCGTGTCAATAAACATAGCAACGATCCGCTGCTTGAGCA